GGGGGGGGGGGGAATCTGTTTGGGCACTGAGGTTCTTAGGCTTTATTTCAGTGCCTTTGTCATCGGAAGGAGCCCTGGTGGCACAGGGGGTACAGGCTGGGCTGTTAGCACAGGTGGGCAATGCAAACCAAGAGGCGGCTTTGAGGGAGAAAGAGGAGGCTTGCTGCCCCAGAAAGATTGACAGGCTGCGTCATGCAAAGGGAGCGGGTACGACTGTCCTGGAGGGCAGCTAAGAGCCAGGACTGACTCCGAGCAGTATGTTTGGTTTGGGCTTTGGAGCAACAGGAGACTACACAACCACCACAGTGTAACCGTTTTACTTTCCTCCTGATGGAATGGCAGTCTGGCCAGTATGGCGGCCCAACGTGGCTCAAAGGTTAAGACACTCAGCTGCTGACCCAAAAGGCTGAAGGTTCCAGTCCACCCACATACCCCTTGGGAGAAAGGCCTGAGGATCTGCTTCCAAAGAGTCCGCCCTGAAAGCCCCATTGAGCACAGCGGAAGTGGCCACGAGCCACAATCCACTTTACAGCTATTGGTCTACTGACGTGTACCAGGAAAAGAGCCTCACTTCCATCAGGTCGCTGCCAACACTAGAGACTCTGTGGGACAGGGTGGAATTCCCTTGTGAGTTTCTGAGACTGTTAACTCTTCACAGGAGTAGAAAGTCTTTCTCCCGTGAACCTGCTGCTGGTTTTGATCTGCTGACCCTGCAGATCACAGTCCAGCATGTAACCACGACGCCACCAGGGGCTTTCAGAGGTTCACGGCAAAGTAGAACTGAAAGAGAATGGAATTTTTCCATGAACTCTTAGAAGCCCCCTTCGTACATTGCTGCCAGAACTTGATGGCTTAATATTGCCTGGCCCCACTGCCTTGCTGGAGAATCTAGGGGGTTGCCCTTTGGTCCTATTAACTTTATAATAAGCTAGTCTAGGACTGTGGCAGTTGACATCACTTGGGGAAAAAAAGATGAGCCACTGCTCAGGAACAGTCTTTAGTGACTCTGCATAAACAATCTTCAGTGACTCAGTGTAAAGAGCTGCCCAATCACGTAGGCAAAGAGGAGCATTCCGAATAGTGTGTCCGAAGTAGATGCCTGGATGGTACCCCCAGCCCACTCCCAGCTTCTCAGGTTACTATTGTAGTGGCTATGGTACAGCCAAAATCTACGTGTGTCACATATGTCCTTTATCCATGTGCATCATGAGAATTGGTGACAAACCTCCGCATTAGGTATTTCACCATGCACTCCCATGCTGCCAGTAAAAGCCATTTGAGTACGGGAATTATGGGCCAGTGCTATTGGCAGCTCAGATCTACCGGCCACTCCACAGGAGAAGGATTTACAGCCTGGGAAATCGTATGGGGTATTTCTGCTCTGTCTGATAGGGTCACTCTGAGTTGGAATCAACATGACAATAATAGATTGGGGGGGGGGGATTGGTTGTTTTACCCTATAAGGCTTACTTAGAAGGCTAGTAAAACCTACAATTCCATAGCTCATTACCAAGAGAATCCACTCATGAAAATGAAATGCATTTGGAATGATGATCTGTTAGTGACAGGTTGACAAACCAGGGCAAGGGGAGGAAAATGACCCAACTCCTCTCCTAGAGTGTGAGCAGATAATGATGTGGAGAATGTCAGGTTGCCATGGAGACAGGCTCTGGCTCATTGGCTGCAATGCTGCACCCCATCAGAAGCCACCCTTCCTCCCTAAGCCTGAAATGAATTCAGTGCTATTCAAGGCGGGTTTGTTTACTTTCTGCCATTTGCCTAAAACTGCAGGGTAGGGGGAGATCAAAGAGGGCTGCCGCCTGGTCTCTGCTGAAAACGTGCCAAAAAGACAGTTGCACTTGTGCAATGACTGTAACCCGTACCGCTCAGGAGGCAATGACATGCCCGGAAGTGTAAGAACTGAGGAGCGCTATGCAAGACTAGGAAGAAGAGAGATGAGCATAGGCCAGCATTACTAGGCAGGGCTCATGGTGGCAGAAGCTGAGGGCTCTTGGGGGCACTCACTCCGTGCAGGTTGTTAACGAAGGGCTGGAGTGCACGGGTGATACAGACCACTGACCTGCCCTGCTACAAACAGAAGGGATGGAGGTTTGAGTCCACCTAGAGACAGCCTGGAAGTAAGCCCTGGTGATCTACTCCCCCCTCCACCCACACACTCCCACCTCAGCCATTGGAACCCTTCTAGAGCACAGTTGTAGCCTTACCCACAGGTGGGGGCGCCAGGGATTGGAGTTGACTTCACAGTAATTATGAGGGGACCTGGTAGCATAGTGTTTACGTGTTAGGCTGTGATCCGAAAGGTTAGCCATTTGAAACCACCAGCTGCTCTGAGGGAGAAAGAGTGTGTTCTACTCCCGTATAAATAAGTCCAGCCTTAGAAACTCACAGGGCAGTTCCCTCTTGTCCTCGAAAGTCACTATGAGTCGGCACCACTTGATGGCGGTGAGTCACAGCAACTGGAGTTTTATGTGAGCCGAGCAGACAGTTGCTTCAGGCAGGAAGGAAAGGATGAACAGACTTCTAAGAGAAAGGGTGTGTGTTACCACAACAGTGAGGAAATCTCCTGAATCGTGGGCAAGGGCCTTGATGAGCAAATGTCACCATCAAGAGGATCCAGCAAGATTCCCCGGGGCCTTGGACTGAGATTTGATCTCATAAGCTCTAGAGATGGATTTCAGACCTTTGATCAGAGTGGTGATCAATGAAAGGCATGTTGCATAGACATTGGCTCAAGGATAACACTCCATATGTATTGGAGGGGAGTGAATCTGGAGCCAAGGAACTAGAGAAGGGTTCTGGATGGTGATGGAAGCCTAGATATGGCTGGTGGATGTGCTCAGTGAGGAAAGAGTAATGCTTTCAAGAAAATGTCCAGAGCATTTGCTAACAGGGGTTTAAGAACAGGTGAAGGCACCTGAACTTCTCAAACAAATTATCCCCTGGATTCGAACTAAAGCCTAGGAGCTAGAGGTGGGTTCTGATCTTCCACTTTCAGGTGTGAAAAAGAAATGTAAATAATGTAGACTGCAGAGTTAGATTCCGAGCACAGGGGCAAGTCAGCATGCTGGCAAAAGTCAATACACAGACAAAAAAGGAAAACCCACCGTGTAAAGGCTACTAAGAAGACCCTCAAATGGAGTGAGTTATGGACATGTCGCAGGAGCCCTAGTGGCACAGTGGTTATGCCTTGGGCTGAGATCTGCATGGTGAGCAGTTCAAAACCACAAGCTGCTTTCTTGGGAGAAAGACCAGGTTTTTCATTCCTGTTATTACAGTCTCAGAAGCGCACAGAAACAGTCGTACCCTGTCCTACAGAACTACTGAGTTGGCATCGACTGGATGGCAGTGAGTGAGTGAGTGGGCATGTAAAAGATGACCTAGATGTGAAGGAGGCTCAGACGTCACTCCCCAGGGAACGTTTGGGCCTGAATGGACATTTTCAGGCCCAAGTGGCAGAAAGAATAATGAAGGGAGCCAGGAGCCATAGAAGGGGAGTTTAATTGCACACATTGAGGAAATGCTGCACCTAAGCTCCTCATTTCTGCGTTGGAAAAGTGGACTCATCTCAGCATGAAACCATAGCACCAACCATCCTTCGGAAGAGGCAGAGACCAAGGTCCGAGTCTTGCTTCAGTGATTTGTGAACTAAAGCTGGTTACATACTGCGCTTCGGACCCGTGTACTTCTTTCATTAAAACTGTCAGGATGATGGCTGGTCACACTGAATGACGCCATCATAGTCGGGGCTTGAGTATTTTTTCTTCTAAGCCTTTTGACCTCTTTGGATAAAGAAATGCTCTGACTGCCAAGGAATAAAGTCAGGAAACAGACCCTTGAGAGACTAGAGTCTAAAACAAGGCCAGGGCCGGAGCAACTAAGCCTGTAACAATGTCATCTGGCCCCGTCCAGGTGGGAGAGAGCACATTCATCATGACTTAGGTTTGGTATCCATGATTAGGTTAAGCTTATTGTTTATCCCCAAACCCATCATACAAGGACGTTTATACTGATGGCATATAAAGGATGTTGTTGTTGTTAAATCCGGTATTCGACTTAGTAGCATTGAAAAGTGCTGTCTGACGGATGGCTCGGTGTACCTGGGGGGCCATTATACGCACTCCGGATGAATTACCTGTATCTCCCTGCAGAGTTGGTGCTGGTCAGATTATTGCTTTAATAATGCACGTGTCTGCTGTGAATGTTTACCAGCTAGCTAATCAGAGCTCTGGAGAATACAGGCCACGTTTGCATTGTTACGAGGCAGACATCATTTTACAATTAACTTCATTACCACTGGAATGTAATCATACAACATTGCCGCTTTCCATTTTTCACTGTGAGGCTTTAAAATAATTAAATGTACCTACACACAACTACAGGTGCTGTCTCGGCACATAAATGACACTGATTTTCTTAAGGACACATAAATACACTTGCCCGTGCAGAGCCGTTCAGTTGCTGTGGGGTATGCTTACAGTCTTTACACGAAAAAGGGATTGCTGGTGTGAAATATCATGTGGAAATGAGATTTTTTTCCCCCCTCCACTTGCTCTCTTTAAAACCATGCAATAAAAATCTGATTCGCAAATTGGGCACTCGGGGGCCATGTGAAAACCACTCTGAAGGTCGACTCTGCCTAGATTTAATGTGTTTTGAATTGATTACTTAGGAGAAAAGTCATCATGGTATTTTACATATAGGCAGCAATTTGGAAATTGTGTGTGTGTGTGTGTGTGTGTGTGTGTGTGTGTGTTTACCACACTTGATTTCACACCCAGCAGAGTTTTGAAATCATGCATCACATTTGAAAAGAATATGAAAACACTGTGTTGGGAAAGGCGATTTCCCAAGGCTCTGGCACGTCAGCAGTAATGACACGTATGTCTTTCCCTCCTGCAGGCCACGCAGTGCAGATTACTTCATGCAAGAAGCTAAGCGGATGAAGCATAAAGCGGATGCGATGGTGAGGCTCTTTTCTCTCCAGATACGTTCTTCCAAATGATGTTTGTACTGCAGCTTCATCAATGGGGCATTATAGCTGGGGTAATTATAAAATCTATTACAAGGATGGCTGGCTCTGTTAAATGGAGAAATGTTTATATGATCAAGCACTCATAGCCCAATAAATTATGACTTCAACCAATAATGTCTGACGAGGAGAAAGCCCTAGATAAATAAATATTTCAGTTTCATCGTAGGGTTTGAATAGTAACTAGAGGCAGGGGAGTCAGTGGGAGATAGTATGTTTTTCCCGACCAAAAAAATATCTAGGTTTGCCTTCTCCTCTCGTTATCCCAGCCCAACCCATGGCTTGGTCCCAAGGTCAACTCCCTCTTCAAAAAGACTCTCTGTCTGTCTGTCTGTCTGTGTGTCTCTCTCTCGTGTTCTTCATGTGTATCTGCCAAAAGGAATCCTTCATCTGAAACTGTACAGCCACAGAAACTCATAAACTGCACACGGTTTGATCATTTTCAAAGATTAACTTTTCGTACTTGGCTAATCTCCCTTTTGGGAAAGCTTGAAGCTTTCAGGCAAGGAATAGAAAACTTCTGTTTGGTTTTGTTTTCTAAAAGAAATCATATAGTCTTTTACTCTCTTCCAAAAAGATTACTTCCAACCTAGTTACCCCAACTCTGGTCCTCTACAGCATCTGTCACTGATAACAGGTGCAGGAGATCAGCAAGGCATTCTGAATGACCTTATTACAATATTGAAGAGGCTTAGGTCATAACAACGTCCCTCTCTCAACTGTACTGGGCAAGCATTCCCTCTGCAGGAAGAGCACTGTCCAGTTACACTGGGAGAGAAGGAAAAATTGCCACTGAGTACCAAAGAACAGGAGCTCCATGGTGGGCACATCATTCACACCCTTGGCTGCTAACTGAAAGGTTGGGAGCTTGAGTCTACCCAGAGGCATGTTGGGAGAGGGGTCTGGTGCTGTGCTTTCGAAAAATCAGCCATTGGAAGCTCCGGGGAGCGCAGTATTACGCTGATACACAGGAGGTCGCCACAAGCCAAGGTCACCCGGGGTGTGTTGTCTGGGCCAGAGAATACGAAGAGGACCAGAAAGTCTAGTTCTTCTCCACATCTCACAGTGGGATGGAGATTTCTGGTCCTATGAAGAGTCTGACCCTTGACCATTGTTGGAGAAAGAAGAACATTGAATTTTCATGGCTCTGCCTGAATCTCTCCTCCACTGTTTACAGGATTACTCTTCCACTGCATGATCCAACCCCACTTTTCTTGCAGCTGTTTCCCGAGAACACATTTGGCTGTAGCCAGGCTGGTCCCCCTGCCCCTAAGCACACTTTGTTCATGAAGTCAGCAGGCCATTGCCCCCCTCCAGAGCTACACACACACTCACAATTTTACACACACACATGCGTGCACACACTCAAAATTACACACACCCACTCCTTCAGCATCCTCCCAAATCCAGCGCAGTCACACCATCCCTTCTCACTATCTGGCTCAGGTTGCTTTCCAGAGGCCTGCCCAGCCTCTCGCTGGTCTACCTCACTACTCTAACCCTCCACTTCCATTGGCCTCGTTTTGCAATGTGTTGTGCAGTAGCAGACTGCTCTGCCCTGTCTTGTAGGTACACCATTTCTTTCTCCGAATACAGTACACGTTTTTCAGAAGAAACTTTCATGTATCAAGCACAGAGGCAAGTGCTTTTAAAAAAGCACTTGTCAAATGAAATAGCTTCTTTAATCGAAAGCATTATCAAGAATTACTGCCTCAAAGCCTATTAGGGTTACTTGAGTCTTTTTTTTTTTCTTTGTCGGATTTTCGAAACTCTTCTTTTTTTTTTTCCTTTTTAACATTTTATTAGGGGCTCATACAACTGTTATCCCAATCCATACACACATCAATTGTGTAAAGCGCATTTGTACATCGTTTCTCAAAACATTTTCTCTCCATTTAAACCCCCGACATTAGGTCCTCATTTTTCCCCTCCCTCACCGCTCCCCCCTCCCGCATGAGCCCTTGATAGTTTATAAATGGGTATTTTGTCATGAGTCTTAAGATTGTCTTACGCTGCCAAAGACAGCATTTTGCTCTCTCTGTCTGCTTTGTTAGGTGTCATGGCCATGAAGTCTGGGGCTCTGGGTTTTTAGTGACAAGACTTGGAGTAGTTCTTAGAGTGTTTGCATCAGTTTTGATTGATGAAGAGGTCATTTGAAACCTGGAGAGACTTTGCAACCCTAAGTTAGGATGTGTAATTATCCAAAGAAAGTAGCAATGTGTGGGGCTAGAAAATTGATGTGTACATGTGAATTTATGAGAACCTAAAAATATAACAATTCTTTTTTTTATCCTTGCTAAATATTTTAACATATATTTAGACTATGGATTCCCCCACTGATTTGGCTTACCACCCCCTTTTCAGGAAAAAAAATTACTCAGTGTCCCTCTGGCAATTAAAATCTTAAATTAAAAAAAACAAAAACTTTTTACTGTAGTCCATGATCCATGATAAAGTGTAGGTATCTGCTTTTGCAGTCCCCCCACCATGCCCCCATCATCCCAGTACCCTCGGGGTGGAGGTGGTATCGCTGTCTGTGGGAAACGTTGGCTTAGACACTGGTTTAGAGAATGATAGATAATCCAGAAAAAGTTGTTATTAATTTTCACAGTGGTGTTTCATAATTGAAGAGCGAAAAGAGCAAAGCTGATACCTTGAGTTTCCTCTCCTCTCTTAACCCCACCTCATGCTCACCTTTAAGCAAGGGCTTGACTGTCAACAAAGTAACCAAACTCATGCAAAGAGGAAGGAGGGAAGATAGAAATAGCCCAAGTCATTGAAAGGAAGCTATTAATGTCTCGCTGTATGGGATCGGATTGACAACAACAGCCCAGAGGAGAATGGGAACGGAGCAGGGCAGTGAGTTTATGGTAGTGGGGAAGGACCAACTCAGCAGAGAAAGCAATTGACTGCACACGTCAGCCATTGGCATTCGTGTCTCTGAATAAAACACATAGAAATTGTTGTGTTGGGATGTGTTCTGCTGTGTATATTCTCACTTGCAACACACATAAAGGATTTTTGAAAGCAGTGGCGTAAAAAATGACAGCCAAGGTCTTCAGTCATCAAAGCTGGGGTACACACATCAAAAAGGGGTGAAAACTCTCCTGTGGAGCCAGGCCTATCAACTTCAGTGTGCACTAAGCAAAGCCTGGATGGATAGAAGATAATGGTCCCAAACCCTGGGAGATTAGAGAGAGAGAAACAGACATCAGGGTGTGCAGGACATTTTAAGCGTTATGTGGTATCATTCTATATCTAACCATTCACTCACTTACCCCAAAGAGCAGTACTTCTTATGGGGGGTCAGGGGTAAAGAACAGAGAAGGAAGTACCCCATTTCTTGCATCTCTTGGCTCCACTAACAGGTTTTTAGAACTCAGAAGTTGGATTTCTCAAATAAACCTATATGAAAATGCTATTGTTTTGTTTTTTGAAAAAAAACTTTTCTTAAGGAACAAACTGTATTAACTCTGTTGATCAGGTGGAAAAGTTTGGGAAAGCACTGAACTATGCTGAAGCAGCTTTGTCGTTTATTGAGTGTGGGAACGCGATGGAACAAGGCCCGATGGAATCCAAGTCTCCGTACACGATGTACTCAGAAACAGTAGAACTCATCAGGTAAGGACTGTATGTTCTTGCTGGGTCTCAGAAACTGGGGAAATGGCTGAGGAATATTTAGAAGAGCTAAGAATACGGAGAATGTGGACATCAGTCACCAGTGACTAGCGTTCATTTCAAAATATAGGCACTGAAGATTTTGAAAGGAACGCTCTCTTACCCTGCCTCCTTTGCTCTTGGTGTGAGTGAGTCAGGGACAGCTCCTGCAGGCCTGATTGCTTCAGGGGAAGCCAACGCATGGCCACTTCACCCATCTAGGAGAACCCGCCTCCGTTAGTCCACCTCTGCACTGCTTCTTTTTACTCTGGTTCAAGTTGAGATCATCCATACCTTACCGCCCTCAGTAAGTGATTCAGGAGTATTGAATTGAAAGGGAAGAAGGTTAGAAAGATTTTATGAAATGAAAAGCCATCCTATAATATGCTGTCTCAGAGGGTGCTCACACTGGCCGGGTCTAAAACTTACACATGAATACTGACACACACACCCCCATCCTGAATTACTACAGCGTGGCATGTACAAAGACAGCATGGGTTTTTGTGCCAAACTGGGTTTTTGGTCTCACTGCCATCGGGTCAATTCCAACTCATAAAGACCCCATAAGACAGGGTAGAACCTGTCCCTGTGGGTTTCTGAGACTAACTCTTTTAGGAGTAGAAAGCCTCTCTTTTTCTAGCGGAGTTACTGGTCGTTTGAACTGCTGGGCTTGCGGTTGGCCACCCAGCTCATAACCCCCTGCATCACCAGGGCCCAGGCATCTAAATGTGTTTTGATGGGGATGGTTATCTACGTAATGGAGACTTGCAAATGCACAACCTTAATTTTTCTTTAACGAACCATTCAGGAAATTCCATCCATTCTCCTACCTCTGTCGTACAGTGTACTGTTTTAGCTTGTCCAACTGCTTGAGATAATATCTAATGTGAAACTGTATGAATAATTCTCCCTAAAGCTAACTTGGAGAGACTTTTCTAGAATTCAGTATGACCTAAGATTAGGTATTTTTTATCATGCCCAGCCATGTAAGATGGAAGATTTCTAATCATCTCAGGTTATGACCTTTTGGGTCGGCATTGGTCCAACACCACTTTGTTTCAGTAAATCGTTTCCAGCCTGTGGGACCCTTGCATCAGCAGCAGAAAACACATGATCTTCAAAGAGAGTAGTCTTTAAGAGTGTTTTGGAAATCAGCATTGCCTAGCTATTTTTCTTAGTACAATAATTCTATTAAGCCGATATATTGGTGGCTCTTTCCTCCTACCTACATACATGTTGCAGTATTTGCAGCAGTGACGGAAAGAAGGTGGCAGGTTTGGTTTTGTTTTAACATTAAGATCTTTCTAAGAAACCCTAGATCCTCACTTTCCTTCCTCAGAAGGTAGTGGCACCACATTTTCCAAACACTGAAAGAAAAGAACTGTCAACTGTGAATTCTATGTTCAGCTAAACGATCGTTCAGGAATGACCAATAAACCACTGCTGTTGAGTCAACCAAGTCACACCAACGCTATAGGACAGAGTAGGACTGCTAGATTGGGTTTCCAAGACCTGCCTTGATGGGAGCAAGTAGCCTCATCTTTCTCCCTTGGAGTGGCTGGTGGCTTCGAACCACTGACCTTGCAGTTAGTCATTCAGTGCTCAATCCACTTTTCCAGCAGGGCTCCTGTTCAGGAATGAAGGGAAAATAAAAATATTCTCAGACAAAATCAGACTCAAAATAATCTGTCACTAGCAGATCCACCCTGAAAAGTTGGCTGGAAGGAATCTCTCAAGGAACAAGGAAACGATCAAAGGAGGTTATCCTGCAACACAGGGGAAAGGGAAGAACAGAAACGTGGATTTATAAGCTAAAGTATCCTCCTGAGTTTTATAAAGCATATTTGATGTTAAAACAAAGATTATGCCACTGTGTGATGCGCCAAAGAACGCTGATTTAACGGTAGGTCACGCCCTCCAGCTCAGTGAGCTGTAATAAATTGCGTATGCATGTTACAGCACCTAGAGCAGCCACTGTGAGAACTATCCACTTACAGCACCTAGAGCAGCCACTGTGAGAACTATCCAATTACAGCACCTAGAGCAGCCACTGTGAGAACTATCCAAAGTGATACACCCAGAAGCACAACAACCCTGGAAATTGTAGAGGAGAGACACAATGCTGCACTGGAGTCCATTCTGACCCCAGGCCCTGGTAGCACAGTGGTTTCCCATTGAGCTGCTAACCTCAAGGTCAGCAGTTCGAAACCAAGACCATCACCCTCCAGGAGAAGAAAAAGATGATCATTTCTACTCCTTTAAAGAGTGACAGTCTCAGAAACCCATAGGGACAGTTGTACTGTGTCCCATTGGGTTGCTTTGAGCAGGTTGTGACAAGCCTATAAGTTCTTGAGTGTGTAAAGGGAGCTATCCCACTCTACCAAGTGCTGTGCTACACCATCTTGGGTCATCCTCACCAAAATGCTGTCTTCGTTGTTGCATTTTGTTAACAAGGAAACATGGGAGCTTAAAGATGGTGATCATTCATTTATGTAAGAGTTCACAGCTCCCAAGTGGATATGACCTGTGACCCCAGGATGCTCTGACCATCACACATACGGCCTCATTCTTTTGGAAAGTCTGCATGTAACCTGAGTGTACTACTAAGAAAGAAGGGTGGGGGGAGGGAATGATAGCTTCCCCAGTTCAGAGAAATAAATGAAGCACAGCCCACCAAAACCACGAATTTCTCATCACATGGTTCTGTGGGAGCAGCTACCCTGGAGTGTATAGAATGAACATGTACCCAGGACACTTAACTGCTGTCCAAGTAGGAATTCCATAGCAAAGCAAAAGGGGTGCAACCAAGCATTCATTGGCGTGCAAGGGATGAAAAATTCCCCTGGAGAAATCCTAGCAGGGTTGGACTTTGCCTTCATCGCAGCAACCACTCAACCATAAATCCAAGCTGGTAAACACGTCTATGTTACCATCTACACGGAGAACTCTGGACGGGTAGCACTCCAGGCCTTCCATATCATTTGTGCGTGTATTGTTAACGAGCCGAAAGAAGATAGATGGGCCTGAGAATCGTATCATTCAAGTCATCACAGTGGTGTAATGTGTGGGGAGAATGGAGCAGCATCAGCTGGCTTGTAAGGAAGAGTTATCAGCAAGCAGTCTCCAAAGCTGAGTGTCAAGCAGAGAGACCACCCGACAGAAGACATGTTCCATTGTTAGTAAGAGCACGTGCTTTCCATCTTTCCCGGGCTTTCCTTTCTTATTTTTGGTGTTCTTTTGTAGGTATGCGATGAGACTAAAAACCCACTCAGGCCCCAATGCCACCCCAGAAGACAAGCAACTAGCCGCTTTATGGTGAGTGCATCAGATGAGCTAAGCTTCCTACCCCGCCCTTGTGGGTCTTCCGCGGCAAAGCATGTGCTGAAAGGCATTGCGCTTTCCTCGTGTCTCCCAGCATTCAAAATCGAATGCCGTTCTGATGACAAGGGAGCCTTCGGACCATTGTTTGCTGCCATGTCATGCAGGATTTGAATTAACAGTGATTGAATATTGACACATCAATTGCACAAGAATTTTTTTTTCTGCACGCAAGTGTGCGTGTGTGTGTGTGTGTGTGTGTGTGTTGTGTGTGTGTGTGTTTAAACCAGGTAGTTCTGTGTTTTAGTCCTTTGAATCCTAATGGAATTCCTCGTGTTTAACATTTTAGATGCAATCAGACAAATTCACTTCTTGCTTTATATGTGGGATTAGCATGACTGAATATGCTGTATTTGGGTTCTCAGCACATTCAGCATAGGGTCAGTTCATTATACTTTGATAATAAAATGATTTATTTTCTAAACAAAAGGTAATGTCTAACCGATTTTTTCAAAGATGTGTGATGATCACCATGGATATGTTGATACAATTGTCATCATTTCCCCCACTTTCTCTCCCGAGGGCGCCCCACGCTACTCTCCCCAGTCACAAAGAGGAAACACACCAAATTGGTTCCTCTTGAGAAAAAAAGACTCAACATTTTTTTTGTTCATACCGAACACTAACTACAGGCTTCACCTCCGAAGGCTTATGCATTCTAGAACCTACTCTGCAAATCGGAGAAGCAAGTCTCTATAGCAAAACCCACAAGCCGGCCAGCCCGCAGCATTCGGCAAGGAGAGGTCCCGGGGAGTGGGCACCCTGCCACCACCTGGAGTTTGGTGTGCTAAGAACAGGCTACTAAACTGTCTTGTGTTTTTGTTGGTCATGTAGTGAGGCCGCCCCGTCCCCGAGTGAGTGGACCGTTCAGAGGGAAGAGCGCCCAGGGAAGAGAGAGGGGTGGGGCGGGAGGCTGGGGAAAAGCTCCCTGTGCTTTTTCCAGCGTTATTTCGGTTTCATGTCGGGGATCAGTAAAGCTGTGGGCGCTAATCGCATATAAAATATGATGCGCCAATGATGATGGTGTTATCTAAAATAATAAACCACCGGTCTCCCCATAGGATTGTTATTGTTCAGAAAGCATTCATATGTGCTACCAGGTTTCCCTCCATGAGTGTCCGGCAAGGTCATTAAAAAGTGAAGGGAATAAAAATAGATGCAAGGGCTGTTCTTTCACAATGCGGACTCTGCCCAGCAGGATGCCCAGGGAGTCAGAGGGAAAACCAGGGGCAGGCTGCTCTGCCCGCTAGAGCTTCCACACTCACCTCACAGGCAATGGCTGAAGGCTGAAGGCTGCGTGCTGGTGCTGCCTCACTCTGCTCATGGAGAGAGACTGTCCTCTAATGGCGGAAGAGAAAATAACCAACCCTGGCGCCCAACAAAGGAACTAGACCGCTAATACTATGAAATGAATTAGTGGTGGATGTATTTCAGGAATAGCTCCTTGGATTTTTGAATTATATGTCTTTAGAACCAAAGAAAGACAAGCTCCACAAAAGCATACACTCATAGAGGAAGGAAGATGTGTGTTTGTGTATTTTATATTAACGAATGCTTTGACGAAGTCTCATTGGTGAGGGTTTTCAGAGCCCCTTTCTCTTTTCTCCTGCAGTTACCGATGCCTGGCTCTCTTGTACTGGCGGATGTTTCGACTTAAAAGGGACCATGTTGTAAAGTATTCAAAAGCTCTTATCGACTATTTCAAGGTACTTTCTCACTAAGGGGCAGCACTGGTCTTTGTACTTAGAGGTCTCCCTGCCAAGGACATTTTCAAAGACTCTGGTAGAATTGTTGCTTTGGGGCTAATACAGGACACTTCTAGTACCCAGACGAGTCTTATCTGTAACACATTTGTGGTTGTAGAGCACAGAGAGCCCATCTAATTTGTCCCTCTGCCACGTGTTTTTGAACCTCCAGAGAAGGGTTCTCAGCCTTCCTAATGCTGCGGCCCTTTCATACAGTTCCTCGTGTTGTGGTGACCCCCAACCATAAAATTATTTTCGTTGCTACTTCATAACTGTAGTTTTGCTACTGTTAAGAATCACAATATAAATATCTGGTATGCAGGATATATTCTCATTGTTACAAATTGAACATAAAGCATGGTGATGATCACAAAAACAATATGTAATTATATATTGTGAAATATTTATTTCTAATGACAAATCAATGAAATTTTGTCTTGAAGCATGGTGTAGCATGGGTAACAGTCCTTACACCAGCCCAGGTACTCGTAGGTGGGCGTATCTGCATGTGGGCAGACCTGCCTGGAGACGGATAGAGGAGCAGTGTTTTGGTTCCTAAGACCATCAGAAATATGAGTTTCCCAATGGTCTTAGGCGACCCCTGTGAAGGCTCTTTCGACCCCCAAAGGGATCACAACCCACGGGTGGAGAACCACTGTTCCAGAGAATGACGATCTCATTCCTTGGTCCAGCATACTAGGGAATTTATCTTTTAGCCAACATAAAGTCCTCATTCCTACTGCAAGTTTCTTCCTCTTTGAAGTAGAGCTGCTTCTTAATGAGTCTCCAGTAATTATAGAAAGAGAACATAGAGAAATTCAATATCATCACTCAGAGCAAGACCAGGAACTAACTTGGAAGAGAGCAGCAGTTGCTCATATGCAAGTTCAAGTTGAAGCTGAAGAAAATGTTGATACATCATACATACTGAAGGTGGAGAGCCACAGGAGGACCTTGAGTATATTCCACGTTTAGAGTCCGTCTCAGTAATAGCTTTGTTGCACTGAACACGAATGGCCAAACACAATACATGTTGTGAGATGACATCAAAGACATTATACATGACGAAAGCAAATGAGCAAGAAAAAGACGGCAAAAAAGAAAAGACAGAAATGGACATCACAAAGAAGACTCCGAAACTTGCTCTTAAATGAAGAGTAACTGTTGCAAAAGGGGAAACTGGTGAAGTAAAAGAGCGAAACAAAAGATTCAAAACAGCAGCTCCAACAGACCAAATAAAGTGTTAGAATGAAATGTGCAATGACCTGGGGTTAGAAAGGGAAAAGGGAGCAATGCACTCGGCACTTCTCAAGCTGAAAGAACAGGAGAAACATTCAAGTCTTGAGCTGCAGTACTGAAAAATTCTATGGACAGAATATTGAGCATCAAAAGGGGGCATCAAAGAAGATGGAAAGAATACACAAAAATCATTGAACTAAAGAGAAGTGGTCGATGTCTCATCGTTTCAGGAGGTAACATGATTTTAAAAACCCATGGTGCTGAAGAAAGAAATCCAAGTTGCACTGACAGTATTGCCAGAAAATAAATGGTAAGGCTCCAAGAATGGACAATATCCATTGAAATGACAAGACAAAAAAGATGTAACACTGGAAGTACTCTTATGCATCAAGAAATTTGGAAAACCGAGTGTGCTCAAGCATGATGTGGAAATTGTCAAATAGTATCACTAATACACACAATTAAAATTTGTTGAAAATAATTCAAACATTGTTGCAGCGGTGCATCCTCAAGGATCAGCCAGAAATACGAGCTGGATTCAGAAGGGGGCATGGAAGATGTTGCAGATGTCAAATGGATCTTGGGTGAACGCAGAGAACATCAGAAGGATGTTTGCTTGTGTTTTATTGACTTTGCAAAGGCGTCTGACTCTGCATAATTAAAAAAAATTTGGAGAGCATGACAAATATAGGAATTCCAGGACACTTCATTGTACGCATGTGGAATCCCTATATAGACCAAGAAACAGTCATTCAAAAAGAGCAAGGAATCTACTACATGATTTAAAATCAGGAAAGGTGCACGTCAGAGTTGTAGCATTCCATCATGCTTATTCAGTGTACATGCTGAGCAAGTAATAGGAGAAGCTGAACTAAATGAAGAAAAGCACAGGATCAGGTTTGAAAGAAGACTCACTAAGGACCTATGCAGATGACATGACCTTGCTTGCTGAAAGTGAAGAGGACTCGAAGCACTTACTGATAAAGATCATCCTTTCAGTATGTATTACACACCAACATAAAACAAAGATCATCACAACTGAACTAATAGGCAGCTAATGCATAAGCATCAATTATTGACATTGTTAAGGATTTCATTTGACATAGATCCACAATCAACACCCATGGAAACAGGAATTAAGAAATCAAACAGTGTATTGCATTGGCTAGATCTGTTGCAAAGGACTTTTTAAAACATTAAAGAGCAAAGATGTCACTTTGAGGACTAAGGTGTACCTGACTCAAACCATCAGGTTTTCAGTCATCTCATATATATGCAAAAGCTGGACAATGAATAAGGAAAACCAAAGGAGAATTGCTGCCTTTGAAGTATAATGTTGGCAAAAAATGTTGAATCTGCGGCTGACTCATAGAGGAACAAACAAATCTGTCTTGGAAGAAGTACAGCCAGAATGCTCCTTAGAAGCAAGTATAGTGAGACTTCATCTCATGTTATCAAAACAGACCGGTCTTTGAGAATGGCATGATGTTTGGTAAAGTAGAAGGTGACTGAAAAAGAAAGGCTCAGGGTGTTAGACTGGGTTACTAGAGAAACTAATCCAGGGACACTCATATATGTGTAAGAGAGAGCTTTATATTGTGAAGTAGTTATATCAGGAAAATACCCCAGCTCGGTGCAGATCAAGTCCAAAAGTTCGATACTAGTCCATAAGTCTGATACTGGCCCACAAATCCCTCTTCAGACTCATGCAGCCACAAGCAATGATGCAGAATACAGGGAGATCACAGGCCAGTGGGTGCCTTGTGGATCTGATGGCGGTAGACACAACTCCAGGGGTCTGGCGGGTCTCCAGTCTTCAAGTGGTTTGCCAGCAAGAAGGTGAAAGAGAGGAAGTTCCCAGAATCCTCATGTGAAGACCACGCCCACAAGGAGGCATCATCAATCAGGCTATGACCTGGTTGACAGGCTAAGCTCCACCTCTACACTTATTTAACAAGTTGACATGAAATTATGGAACTACCACACCCTCTCTTTGAGTCATGGGGCTTATGGGCAGGGGAAGAGCCCCGAAGACGTCTCTCTCCTTTAATCGCCTTTTTCTGCACTCTTTCTGGAACCACAAAGCCCTCTCCTACCCTCTCTACCTAGAGTTGTTTTATACAGACATCCATTCTAGAGGTCGCATGGCTGGAACCCTGCTGATTAGTGGCAATGCCAGATGGAGAAGGGTGACAGCTCACCTGTCAGGATTGCCTTCTGGTTTTAATTCTCCATTAAAACCATTCCATTCCTTGGAATGGCTAAATGTTGGCATGGTTTGCAATTCCATCCTTATAGTTACACATTGTAATTGCCGGAGTGCCTGGGAGCACTGACAGGCCATTTCTTACTATTTTGAATAACCCGTCCGTCCATTCAGAGCTGAAAAAAATCAAGTCACCATTTCATAAGGTGGTTTTGAACCAAAGGAAATAACTTTGCCCCTTGTGTTAGTCTGGGTATTTTAGAGAAACAAATCCACAGAAACTCATGTATAAGAGAGTTTTATATAAAGGTTAAGTGCACGTCAAGAAAATATCCCAACCCAGTGCTGCCCAAGTCCAATATTAACTCATATGTCCGACACCAATCCACAAAGTCCTCCTCCATCTCACAAAACATACACTATGACGCCAACTGCAGGAGGAAAGCCGAATCAGTGAATGTGTAAGCATCTCAGCGCTGGCAGGGGTCTCCACACAGCTGCTCCAGCACCCAGGGCTGCATCAGGGTAGGTCCATGCGGCTTCTCCTCGGGGATGTCTTGCAGGAACTGAGCGTTGCCAGCTGAAGCAGGAAACTGGCTGAGGCAGCTGCACCCTGGTCTGACCATCAGAAAGCAAGAGACCCGAGAACTTGAAAGGCGAGGCTCACTGAGCCATTTATCCCTTTGCCCTTCAATTAACTCCACATGCGTTTATCGGCCAGGTTGGCACAATAAACTAACTACCTCACCCCTGGAGACCCGAGCCAAGACTTCTTTTTATCTCAGGAAAGGAAAACTCATATCAGTATCACAAAGACGGGTCTTTGGGTTTGTTTGGTTTTTTTATCATCCTGGTTGTTTGGTTTTCATTTGCATTTGATTTGATTTGCTTTCTCTCACAGCCCTTGAGGCTTCTAAGAAGGCATCGTTGGGCTCTCAAACCTTTCCATGGGAAACGCACAGCTTCTTTGAAATACCTGATCGAAACAAGTGCCTGGCTTATGCAGCAAGCCCTCCTAAATTAGATGGAAAAGAAAAACTTTAAAAAAATGTTCTGTTAAGGACATATATTTATATTTTTCCCCGAACTATTCAAGAGTAACGTCCTTTAAAATGTTCATACGTGGAAACAATACCAACTATGTCGCCCATATTCCCAGGCATGAAATACATGTCAGTCAGGCATGCATGCATGCCCTACATGAAATATGTAAGGTTGACAAGAAAGAAGTTTCCTGCTCTTTGTTTCCTTTCAGAAAAAAAAGAAACCCCATTTAAGACTTGAAAATTAGACTAGTTTGGGATTGGGCTTTAATTTGGCGTCTGAAACCCTAGGGTATGGGGTGAATCCTTCCTCTTGGACTGCGGTGGGACCCCACCAGGTCCAGAGAGGCAACAAATGGCCGAATCATGGGAATGGCCCAGATCTGGTCTCCCGGAATCCGCATTTCATTTTGCAGTGTCTACAGTGCACCATTATCTTATCGACTGCTTGGCTTTGAGCAGCTGGTACTCACCAACTGTGTTTCCATTTCCTGCAGAACTCATCCAAGGCTGCCCAAGCCCCATCTCCATGGGGAGCCAGTGGAAAGTAAGTAGTCTCTCCCCCAGTAGTGCCGTACATGGTCACTGCATGCTGCTGGGTGACGATGCTTTGCTGTAGTGTCCGGGGGGCTCCCTACCTTGCCTGGTGCCAATCTCTCCACTCTTGTTTTTCTACGCTCCCCCCTTCCAGGAGCACTGGAACCCCATCCCCCATGTCTCCCAACCCCTCTCCCACCAGCTCCGTGGGATCTCAGGGGAGCCTCTCCAACACCAGCACCCTGTCCCCGTCCACCATCGTCAGCATTCCGCAACGCATCCATCAGATGGCGGCCAATCACGTCAGCATCACCAACAGCATCCTCCACAGCTACGACTACTGGGAGATGGCTGACAACCTGGCCAAGGAAAACAGAGGTGGGTGCCACTGGGTTGGGCCCCCGCTGAAGGGGAAAACCTGGCCCTTGTGTTCCCTCTGGAGAAGTACTCCCTGTGGCCCCCTCCTGGGAGAACCCATCCTGGCCTTCTCTCTGGCCCTCAGGACCTTCCTCTATGCCTGTGCCTTTACCTTTCTGTGGCATGTTTTCTAAGAGAAATTCAGTCTGAGAGAGAGGTCCCTGGGTGGCACAAATGACCTGTGCTCGCCTGTCAACCAAAGATTGGTCGCTTGAATCCACCCAGCCACACCTCACCAGAAAAAAAAGTCCTGATCGACGACTGTCAGATGACAGCCATTGCAGACCCCGTGGGGTGACTGTGGCTCAGAATCAACTGGGTAGCAGTGAGGGGTTTGTTCACTAGGTGCAACTAAACAGATAGGGACCGACACACACCTACGTGGTTCCCTCTAGACAGTGAGCTCTTCGGAGGGAGGGATTCTGTTCTCCTCGTTGGGGTTCCTAAGACCAAACACCGAGCCTAGAACAGAGGCGGTGCTCGGAAACGCCCACTGAACGAATGCCCCGGCTCTGTGAGTGCTAGGTGCTCACTAAAGAGAGAGGGCCTGTGTCTAGCAGCAAGCTGCATTTCCTTTTAACTATTGTTTCTACTGATTATAAAAAAGTATGCGTGCTTCTTGTGGGTAAATTTGTCGAGTAGAGGAAAATACAAAGGTTGGGGGGAAATTCCTTCAATCAGCAGTGCTCTTATCCCCAAGAAATAAGCCCTGTCAGCATCTTCCAGTTTTTCTTGTCTGAGTGTACTCATTTTACCAAAGGAAGATCATACTGCAGGTCAGTTTTATATCTAGCTTTTTTCACTTGACCCTGTATAGAGCACGTTTTCACGTCACTAACTAGTTCAAAAGCACCCTTTATGATATTACTCTATGAATCTTCAGTTATGTTATTATAAATGCTTATATAATAACTATCAGCCCAAAATTAAACTCACCACCATCAAGTGAATACCAAATCACAGGGACCCTAATAGGTCAGGGTAGGACTGAGCCTGTGAGTTCCTGAGACTGTACTCTGTAGGAAGTTGATTGCCCCACCTTTCTCCTTCTGAGCGGCTGGTGGTTTCAAACTGCTGGCCTCGCAGTCAACAGCCCAACACACAACCACTACACCAGCAGGGCTCCTATACGATAAGTGTATCACCCTAAAATATCATGAGTTCTCAAACCAGTTCCCTATTTTGGAAAATTTACATATACGTCAGATGTTTTCTCATTACAGATAACATTGTGATAGTTCTTTTTATATAAATCACTATTCACACAGGGTTGTTGGAGAGGCCAACTCTTGGGGTCAAAGGGCATACTTAGATTCTTGAAAGGCCCTTGATCCATGGTGACTCTGTTTTCTTTAGAAAGGTGATGCCAATTTATTACTTACCCTCAAGCAACACATGAACTTGCTTTCTGGCTGTTAAAAACAGATTCTGTTCCCACAGTAGTATGAGCAGGGAGTCTACAGGGAGATGAGCTACCAGCAGGCAGGCGAATCCCAAGGACAGTAGAACCCCTGACCTTGACACTAATCTGTTCTAAAAGGAGCATCGAGGTGCGATGCAGTCGAGTCTGAATCAATTTTTCCCATGAGAAATAACTGAAAACGGATTAATCCGTTCTCAACTACCAAGTTTTTATCCTAACCTTACCTTTTTTTTTTTTTTGCTTCTAACCTTACCTTTTTATGCAAAACATTACACAGAAATTTCAAAGTAAATAAGTTCAGAGTTAAATAATATAAGTTAAATAAGAAACACAACATTAAAAAAGTTTTCAACAACTACAGTATGGCCCATACCTTAAGATGGATGAGTATCGGGATCTGTGGACATGGGTGTGGACAAGAGGGATGGAGAGAGAGTCATTGTTGGGAATTGGAATCCCCTTCCGTAAAATCAACTGGTAGCTGCTTCTCAGGAGGTTTTTTGCTTCATTGACTTTTTTCTCTAGAACCTGACTGGCATGCTCTAAAAAAAAAACAAAATCTGTCTAGTGTGGTCTGCTCTTGGCATTTCCTTAACTGTTTTCTAAAAGCGTTTACTAAATAATCACCAATAATCTCGATAACATGGTGAACCAGTTCCTTATCACAATGATTCTTTTCAAAAAGCTCTTTCTTAGGACCAATATTTTTCTTATCTGAAAACAGTACAAAAAGCCACAAAAACTAAGAAATTTATAGCAAAACACTTGGAACACAGCCGCAAACAACATGTGCTAACAATGCTAACTAACTCCGAGTGGCTGAAACACGAACTGCTTTTGTTTACAAAAATCACATGCGTCGGGGATGGATTCTGATGTTTGGTTCGAGCTCCGATGCACACTTTTCTCGGCATTTTGAGTCGAAATCCAATGATGTGGGGTGCCGGGGTTCTGCTGTAGGTGGAGTGGGTGGTGGCAGGAGGGAGTATACAGCCTGCAGCAGGAACAGGGTGGACTCTGAGTCTAGTGGGAGTTGGAGGAAGGCAGGGGACAGGTGGCATGAAGGAGACTGACCAACAGGGAGCAGTTGAATGGTTCCAGGCAATCGCACCATGTCCCCAGTACACAATCCAGAAGGACGCGTGTGAAACCCCCAGGCCTGTCAGGGAGGCACTGAGCCGGTCGCCTGCAGACTGCATTGCCCGCTGCCAGAGGGCTCCGTGCCACAGCCTTCCCCAGACCGGCTGCCTCTGCCCGGTCAGCGCCTGGATCCTTGCCCTGGCACCTGGCATCTTCCCTGGCTCTTCTCCCTTTCCAAAGGACATCTTTATTTCACACATATCATGAGCACCTCGGAAAAGGCCCTCCCGGCTGCTTGCTTTCAAGTACTGTGGCTCAGCGAGTATGGCTACAGCAACCATATTGCTGCCGCTGAGCCCCATCGCCTTCGCCTGCGGCCTCTGAGCGAGCCGCCGCACCCTGCGTGATGCACGGTTGTGCCCTACGCCTGGCAGAGTGCCATCAACATGGAATCAGGGATTCTGAAAAGGTTTTTGATTGGTGACCACCTCTTGACCCCGATAGTCCCCTGAGACTAGAAGGTGTGGCTCCCCCTCAGCTTCACCCCCAGCAGCTCATCGCCGGGCCTTTGGGTGTAGTTTATGGGATGGCAGAGCCACGCTCCATGTTCCGGGGAGGCTCCACCGTGCTCCGATTCCCTTGCTACTTGGGTGAGTGCTGTTGGTGTCAGTGTGAGAGGGCTCATCCAATGAGTTATTCAGAAACGGCATGAGTCTCCCCACTTTTGGGTGTCAGTTTTGCAAGGTGGTTCCAGAGATGCACGTGAGTACACAGACGCCAGGGGCCGACTTCTCTCTGCTCAGGGCTGCGAGACCAGCACACAGCTCTCTCTAAACGCCTCTCTCCGTCCCCTAGAATTCTTCAACGACCTGGATCTGCTGATGGGGCCAGTCACCCTGCACAGCAGCATGGAACACCTGGTCCAGTACTCCCAGCAGGGCCTGCACTGGCTGCGGAACAGCGCCCACCTGTCCTAGGGGCCTCCCCCTGCCCCGAGCTGACCGTGCTCCCGTCTCCACAGACCGCTCCACGTTCCGGACACTGTGCTACTGGACCCCTCGCCACTCGACAGCGAACATTCCCTCTGCCTTGAACAATGAATGGTCTCTCCCCAGGACTTGTGTGTTTGTCCGTGTGGGTGTGTAACCAGCCGCCGGTGTGTGTGCGCGTGTGTAAGATCCACAGCTCTTCAGAACCAGTTCTCTTGTCCGGTTTCCATAATCCTAACCTAGACAAGGTCCTGAGGTTCCTGAGTCGAAGAGTCACCCGCGCACAGTCACACGCGCACACTTTCTACCGCAGTACTGAACCGTGACTTAGAAAACTTCAACCAAAATCTCATGGGCTAGTGAACCCGGTGCAAGACAGCACAAGACAAGTTGACTGCCCGTTAGGATGAACCTAGCTTTTAGACGATGGACGGCTTTTCAGTATTATTATGCTACTCCCCTATTATTTTTCCATCGGTGTGAACAAAATGGGTAATTGCATCATGGAAATTAAGTCAGTTATTTTTGGTGCCAGAAGCTGAAAAGATTGCATGTTACCAAATACCCCGCCCTCCTCCTGATATCCCACCTTTCTTATCACCATTCCACCACCTACCTTTATCATCAGGACCTGCCTGACAAGCAAGTGGAGCGGCTCCCACACACCCTGCCTAGCACCCTGCCCCCCCGCTCCGCCGCCACTGAGTGTGAAAATGGTACCCAGAGCTGGTTGAAACCAACAAACTGTGTCTCTGAAAGTTAACCAGCATTAAGGACTGCCTTGGGGGGCTCAGTTCAAAAAGACACGGATCTCTCTCGGGCCCCTGTGTGATGACTGCAGCCCCGGCCAGCACAGGCATCCCCGCCTTCCAGCCACTGTGACTCGGCGGCTTTACAGCCATGTGGCATTTGTCAGCCAAGAGCTTTTCAAGTCTTTTCTTTCCACAAGAGCTTTCTTTACAAATACCCTTAGCCAAAATTAGGTCATTACCTAAACCGGCCCCCTTCCTGAGGAGGCAGCACCTGACGCAGGCTGGGAACCACTTTCCATCCTCGCTCTCCACACAGGATGTGCGCCCCTGTCGGCCTCGGGTGCCTCTTGACTCGGGGATGTCCTTCAGGCTCTGGACGGAGCACTGAGCATAACTCTGCCCAGCGCGCAGCCTGCTGAACCCTTCTTGTCGGGTGTGTGGCCACCGCTTCCTTGCTTCTTGTCTTTTTCTTTCAGTTAACTTCTTGTTGGTGCTTCATTTTTGTGTTTTGTTTGAAATTTCATTGTGGGGTATTTTTATTTCTGTCTCTGTATGAACCTGATGTCCTTTAGAGTGCCCTCTCAGGTCCTAGAATTAGTCCCCTTGTTAAATATATTTGGCCATGAAAATATGGGGTGGGGGGCAGCAAAAGAAGAAATCGCTGAAAGGAACCTATTACCTGGTCACACTTTAATCATGACAGGACTGCCCTTGACCTCTCAGTTGACAACCTTGCATTGGGACAACCTGAAGGAGACAAGTGACTGGCTGTGGGGGGCAGTCCATTCTTCAAGGTGACAGTGGTGTGGCCGTCGACGTCCGCTGGTGGCTGATCTGACGGGCTGGTTTGCAGCGTTCGGTTTCTCGCCAGCCTGGTCTCTAGATGGGAATTAAGGTCCTGGCATCCGCTCACGCAAAGCACTGACTGAGAACTGCACAGATCAAACAACTCTGTTGATTTAAAATTCATTTCAAATGAGCAAGTGAAGGGCTGGTTCAATTTGCATTTGGCTCTGGCCTTCAGGAATCCAGGAACTATTAGCAGCAGCATTTCCATTTTTTACTAAGGCAACTGAGGTGCTGTTGCCAATGGTTAACGGATTGCATGATCGTTCTTACACTGGGCTAGTTCTTGTCAGGCAGTGAATGCTGGTGATGCTATGTATGTGCAAACGGTCATGAAGGAATGACCCTCAGGGTTCTTCAGGCATCCCCAGGTGCTTCTCTGGTCTGGCCCATCTTTCAAGTTGAAGGCTCTGTTGTGGCATCCACAGGATGCCCGTTTAAACACAGGGGTGGTCTCTGGCTAAGGAGCCCCAGGGCTGGATGGTTCATCAAAAGGTGAGGGCTTCAAACCCACCAGTCACGCTCACAGGAGCTAGATGTGGTGTGGTGGGCTGCTTCCAAGAGGCTTGACAACCTTGGAACCCTTCTGGGACGGTTCCACTCTGAGAATTGACAGCAATGGAGGTTGGGTCTCTGGCTTACAATGCCAGTCACATGGCGTCAGCACTTTGGTGTGCCCCAACCAAGCTTCTGAAACTGGTCACTTGGGGAATGGCCAGACAGGGCGTTCCCGTCGTCATCTCTGTTTCATCTCTCTGAAGCATGGGGTGGCTCAGAAGTGCTGGTTGGTTTGGTCCAGATGGTTTTAGCAAGGAGCCCTTCTGACCGTGGCTCCCTAACGCCTTCCTTTTCCTTCATTGTGTTCCAAGCAGAAACATTCTTCTCTGTTCTGATCATTCCTGTACTCCATCCCCACTGTAGAAATGCAGAAAGTAAGTGTAAACCCTCAATGATCCCATTCTCTCGAGATAACCACTGCTCACAGTGTGATGTCTGTCCATCCAGAGACGTTTCCATCGGAACCTGTCACTTTTATGACCATTTCTTTCTGTTTGAAGACACAGTCTTTCCTCAGAAATTGAACCTGATTTTAACCGACCTTGTCCTTCCATGACTGGAGTGGATGTCACCCTTCATCACAATGTTGGGATTACCTGCAAAGGAGAGCCACCCCAATATATTACAGTTTAAAATGTGGCGCTTGTTGCTACGCTGCACAGACCAGACTTGTGTGCAGATTTGTGCCTGGAGAGGGAGGTGGGGTTAAAACACATATTGCTGGTATTTCCAAATTGCAAATGGAAAACTCAAACCCACTATCTATAGCCGAGTATCCTGGAAAGATACATTTGAAGAGTCGAACAATTGTGGATCAGATTGGACATAACGGAATGCAATGCATTGAGACTTGCTGCACTAAAATTTCTCATACTGTGTACAACAATGATATGCGTATTGTATAACAGTGATGTGTACATTTCTGACACCCCATACACAATACACAGTTTGTATAAATGCATACATTTAAAAATATATATGTACAATACAGCTAACATACAACTGTAGTAAGCCTGAAGGATATTTCTAGTGCCTAATAATTGAGTATAAGTCACTGCGTGTTCACATCACCTTGGAAGTGCAGTAATTGTTATAAAATTAATCCGTGCAGCCAACCATTATTTATGAATCACATCTTTGAAACTGTGCAGTAGTATATACATATATATTTTTAAATAACATTTTTCACAGTTTTCCAGAGTTACTGTTGAAATCTGTATCACCAAAAAAAAAACCCCAAGATTTTTTAAATGAAGTAGACACTCTCCAAACCCAGTAATCTGTGTGTGATTTCTCCGTTTGTAGATACCCAAGAGACTAGCCGTCACCAGCCTTAATGCATGTACAGGATATTATTGTGACTTAATTTATCTGCAGTTTTTAATCCATGTGGAATTGGGATTTATAAACGGACTTGGATTAAATATGTCTGCCTTTCTAAGGTTGCAAATGTTACATTAAATGATTTATGTTGTAAATGAAATGGAGTTGTATGTTAAAAAGTGGACAGGGGCGGGGGCGTCCACTACTTTTATGAGGACATATTGTAATAAGGACACTGCAGATCAAAATATGTTCAAATCAGTATCCGGGGTCCCAGTTGAGCTCCTCTTAGACGCAGCGGAGCTGAACTGTTGGTTGGTGACTTTTGTTTGTACTTTAATGCGACTCCCACAGGTGATCATTACTAAGTCTGATTTTTTTTAATTTTATGGAAGAGAGGTGTGTTTCTCTTCATTATAAGTATATTCTTTGTCTTTCCGGTTTCCCAACACACACACACACACACACATACCCACACAACAGTGCTTCAGAAAACACTGACTTTAGAAGTTCAAGAAGTGCATTCTAATGACTGCATTATTTCCAATTTAATGAGCTAGCCTGGGTTGTTGTGTAAGTCTGCATACATTAGAGAAACAAATCCACAGAAACATGTATAAGAGAGTTTTATATAAAGGATAAGTGCATATCAAGAAAACATCCTAACCCAGTGCTGCCCAAGCCCACAAGTCCAGCATTAGCCCATAAGTCCGACACCAATCCACAAAGTCCTCCTCAATCTCACAAAACACGCAATGATGCCAACTGCAGGGGGAAAGCCGCGTCAGTGAAAGGGTAATTATCTCAGCATTGACGGGGGTCTACACATGGCTGCTCCAGCACCCAGGGCTGCATTGGGGTAGGCCCATGTGGCTCCTATTACAGGAAGTGAGCCTTGCCAGCTGAAGCAGGGAATTGGCTAAGGCAGCTGCACCCTGGTCCGACCATCAAAAAACAAGAGACCCTAGAATTCGAAAGGCGAAGTTCACAGAACCATTTATCTCTCTGCCCTTCAATTAACCCCACATGTGTTTATTGGCCAGGTTGGCACAATAAACTAACTCAGTTGTTTTTCTCACTCAACATTTCTTAAAGAACCAGGTTTCCTGGCCTGGGTGTACTAGTCTTTCCAACTCAAGTCAACCTGGCAGTACTTTTGTTGTTGTTGCAATATTTGATTGAGTACAATAAGATATTTTTTCAAGCTAAAGTAGCTGCAAACAGGTCAGTAGGTTGACATGATAGGACCCTCCTCTCCCACCACCACCACACCCCAGCTTATGTGGCATGGTAGGTTACATGTAGGGCTGCTGACTACAAGGTCAGTGGTTCAAAACCTCAGCCACTCCATGGGATGGATGTGGCTTTCTACCCCTGTGAAGACTGACAGTCTAGGAAACCCACAGGGGCAATTCTACTCTTTCCTATACGGTTGCTATGAGTCGGGGCAATGAGTGATGTGGATAGTTCTTTATTAGCCTTGTTTTTATTCTCTTCCCTTGGAGCTCCCCCTCCTCTCTAAGCTAAACATAGAAACAGACGACAAAACACAAAACCATGACTCTGTCTTTGGGTTCAAATACCCCTTGTCTGTTCCCACTGAATCCTCCCGCACAATGCATAGATGTGTCTACAGCCGTGTTGCCCACAGTTAGTGATAACACTCTCTAGGAGGCACTGGAACTATCCAGGAGGGGCTGAAAACATAGTCTGGGTTATGGGCTGTGGGAAAAAAGCTTTCTTTATTGTCAGGGGGTACTGAGTGCTTTTTTTTTTTTTTTTCCTGAAAAGGGAACAGTAGGCCAAATCCGTTTGGGAACTTATGGTCTGGAGAGAAACTACACGCAGGGTTCACTTTGTAGTGGACGAACAGAGCAGGACGCTGGCTCTGGGTTACCATGGAGACCTCTCCCCAAAGGGGCTAGCAGAGGGGACTTGGCTTTCCTGCACCAGGGACCACTGAACACAATGTGGCCAAAGACAGCCCCAGCGGTCTTGCCAGAACTATCTTCTTTGTATGCCATTTTCCCAGCGACCACAGCTAGCTGAAGTCTGTTCCTACCAGAATCGTATTTTTTAAAAATAGTCCAGTTTTGCTAAAACCTTAAACGTGAAGGGGGTTGGGGAGGACCGGCATAACATTTCGAGCCAAAATGTGTGTCCATAGATTTTTCCATTTCTGGAAACATACGGTTTTCCAGCGTGACACCTTCCTGGCAAATCGCACAAGACGCGTGCCCTTGACGTGGATTCTCCTCGTCCAAACAATTCTGCCCCTCGTCATCAGAGGAGGGGAAGGGGTGGATTGTAAGTTTGGCATGAGGAAAATTGTAAAATTCTGTTTTCCAACTAATTACAGCTACCATGGCTCTGGTTCTTATTATTTAATTGGCACTCAGAGACAGCAGGGGGTCAATTTGGGGTCTGCAGCCAGGGGATTTGGACTCGCAGCTCTTACAGTAATGGGCATCAGGGGATTCAGTCCCTGGGCGATTGTGGTGAAAACCCACCTCTTAACAGCCAACTCCCCGCCGTCACCAGGCGAGACCACAGCAACACAGCAGGTGGACGTGGAGGCAAGGGCCAGCGTTGTCATCAGCAGCAGGAAGTGTTGAGCAGGCCTGGAAAGCTGAAAGAAGCCAGTCTCCGCGCCTTCTTTTTACAGTAGGGAGCACTCGCTAGGGAAGGGTTCCGTCCCGACACGAGAAGTGGCGGCAATGTCAGAGCTTCCTCAACCTCGGAGCTGCGTGGTCCTGAAAAGAATTATAATAGCTTCCTTAATGTTCCCCCACACTTGGTCAGATTTTGCATAAAGCCAGGCTGATTTTTCACCAATCTCTGTCATCTCTGGTGGCCTAGGAGGTTACACATTGGACTGTTGACTGCAAGGTCAGCAGTTTGAAACCACCAGCTGTTCCTTGGGAAGGAGTTAGTCTCCGAAACTCACCGTGGCAGTTGGTCTCTGCCCTGTAGTGCTGCTGGGGTCGGATGGCCGTGAGTTTGGGTTTGGAACTTAGCAGAGGGAGATACACTTAACATTGAGGAGAGTGCAGTACTTGTCAAAATGGTGTTCTGCCCACCATCACAGAAGGTACTGACTTTCTGAAGATCCTTCTATGAATCCCCTTATTGACCTTAGCCCTGTGCCATGGCTGACTGCAAAGCCCCCTGCATAGCTGTGTGGCTGAGATGCCAGTAATTCTAAGCATAGAAACATGCATCTTTAGTTCTAGAGCAGTGGTTCTCAACCTCCCTCATGCCACAACCCTTTAATACAGTTCCTCATGTTGCGGTGACCCCCCAACCATAAAATTATTTTCGTTGCTACTTCATCACTGTCATTTTGCTACTGTTATGAATCCGACGACCCCTGTGAAAGGGTCGTTCAACCCCCAAAGGGGTCGCCACCCTCAGATTGAGAACCGCTGCTCTAGAGACTTCTGTAGCATCACCAAGTTTCACGGCAGTCTGTGTGGTTAGAGGGCGAGAAGAGCACTTTGTCACTGGCAAACTGAACATTAACCCCCTCAAGGCCCCAGGGCTTCTCCCTCGCTCATCCCACACCATTCTTCATAGCTGCCCCCATTTCTTTTCAGTATTCTGTGTCCTAGTTAGTATCCTGACCTGTTTGGTAGAGCAGTTACTGGAGACAATGGAGGGCTCAAAAGTCCTCATTGTTGGGGAAGAATTGTCAGGACAATGACTGAGGTGCCGTGGCATGTCTCCTCTTTATCCTCGTCACCCAAACCTTGAACAAAGCTGTTTTCATGCCTGTCTTCTCACACTCCTGTGAAATGTGACTTAAACATACCAGTTGCCTCACAGAGAGAGTATGCGGACCAGCAGAGTATGGCAACCATTGGGGACTCCCAGTTGTCAGCCATGCCCAAGGGGTCAGTTTAACGGTGAGAACAGAAGCAAAGGAAATGCACTATCTTTGCAGGCACCAAGATGTAAAGGTGTGCAATGCAAGCAACAGTCTGTTCTCCAGCCCTGACTCGGATCTAGAGGACGGACCAAGAGGCTAACAGCACGGTAGCCATGAGCCCTTCAGTGGGAGGGAAGGGTGACAAAGACAGCAAGGTAAGGCAACAGTAAAGGACTCAGCTTTGAGTCCTTCCTGACTGGAGCCCTGGTGCCATCGTGGGTTGACATTGGGCTGCTAACTGCAAGGTCAACCGTTTGAATCCAGCCACCCCCCTGAGGGAGAAGGATGAGACCTTCTACTCCTATAAAGAGTTACAGTCTCAGAAAGCCAAGGGGCTGCTCTGCGTGCAAATCGACTTGATGGCAGTGAGCTTTGACGATAGCCAGGTGGGAGATAGGGTTCTGTCCTTGCCAGGGCTGTCAAGTGCCCCACAGTTGGTGGAACAATCTCACCCTCTTTCTTGTCCAGCTTTGGCCTTAAGAAATCAGGGAACATCCATATGGGCAGAGGAAGAAGCAAGGTTGGGTCTGAGCTTCCCATGTCTTGGATTTCCCTTGAGAACACAACTTGTTTAGTGAATGCCACGCTTTAGACCTCGTAGACCTGCAGCACAGCCCCACTGCCTGTACCCTCGTGGTTCCGCCAAACGTTTGATGCCAGGAGGCTGAGCTTCTGAACGGTGCACACGATGATCATCTTCGTGTAGTGGGCAGGAGAGGCTGGCAGGCAGCAAGGGGAGACCAGCTGCTCCGAGAGGGTTGTCCCCGAGGAAGGAGATCTGTCACAAAGAATTTGGGTGAGTTTCAAGAAAGAAGAAACCTCTCTTGAGAAAATGGATGAATTGTTTTCTCTCATGGGTGAGGTGGGGGCCTCAAAAGGATCACTTTAATTGCAGAATTAACTTTAGTCAGTGTACTAGGACAGAGAAAAAATGTTAACCAGAGAACCAACATTCCAGCCCCAAACACACGGACTAAGACTGAAAAGTCAATGTTGCGCAAGTTTTGAACCACTGAGAATCAAGCCTGAGGTTCTGGATTGCCATTTTTTGCTTTTATCTAACCTTTGTATTATTTAGAGAAAGGGCCTGTCAGGATTCCTGGTGTCCCCAGACCAATATGTTGACCTGCATCAAAATCATAATGAAATGCACACTCAAACGAGCCCCTTCTTTTCACAAGGACGGTAAATCCCTTCCCCATCCTTTCTCCCATGAAAAACTGCCTCCGCAC